AATTGAGGCATCAAAATAAAGAATTTAAAACTCAGCAAAAGCTATTGGCGCATAACACCACTCTCAGTTCCAACAAAGATTTCTTCCAACACTCTCAGTTCGAACATCCACAAAGCTAGTTTATTTTTAAGAAACTGAATATATGAGTTCCGAACGAACAAAGCATGGCCTACTGATTTTCGTAGACTAGACCACTGCATTCGATAGTCTTATAAGGAACAAAGTTTAAAATAAAGTTAAATTCTACGAAAAAAAAATAATGCCAAAAAAATTATCTCGATATTGTTTGCTTATCTTGTTTTACTGATGTACTAAAAAACTGGATTTCATATTAAGTAAGAATCTGAATTCCGAACGAATTCGTATTACACTTTCATGGCAGGTTTTAGCTGGCTTTTGTTGACTACATTATTGCATTCGACAACTTTATGAACAAATAAGTATGAGAAGTACTACAAAAGAATAATGGTCCAAAAAAATCATATCGATCATCAATGATAATATGATGAATATGACTGCCGTATACAACATAATCGATTACTATCAGAGTCATCTGGGTATAGGGTAACGCTGTTTTTAATAATAATTGATGATATGTTGTATCCGAAAGTTGTCAAAATAAGAAGCGATTCATAGTAGTATCAAATAATTTGAAGATCTTCTATAACCTATACGGTCATGAAACTTCAAAAAGCTCCTGTAATCTTTACCACCATCAGTTAAGCCTATGCTGTTTCCTATATACAGCATTTAACACAAGTTTTTAATATATTATGCATTAACTTAATGAAAGAAAAACAATAAAATTTTACTAAATATAGCAATGATGTTATGCTATGCCTAATATAGATGTAACACTTACTTATGACAGTATCAAAACATCTGGTAAATTAGAAACTAAAAAATAACATTATTATTAAGTTAATTTAAAACTTTAAAATTAGTTTTAGTCTTCTAAACCTTAAATCAATTTAAAGAAAACCGACTTCTTGTTTTCCATTCCTGCATAATAGAAAAATTTTAGATCAATGTTCAGTACAAGGTAGGATCGTTTCGGAATATTTACCTTTCATACAAGTATGTATTTGAATTTAATTTAAAAACTTTTTAAATTCGTTTTTTTAATAACTGTTGGAAACCTTGCAGTTGTCTATGACCTCAAAAAATTGTAGGATATAACATAAACAACACATTTATACATAAATATGTACACCTATGCCTCACACCAAAAACCCAGCACATCATCGAAGGTAAGGTGAAGTAAAGAATTTTAAAGAGTTTTACTGTACCACAAAATCCTCAGACAAGTGAATACGCTTCTTCACAATTCTGTCATGAATTTCACGCTTGAAAAATTATTTCATATCGTTGAGAAAAAATCTTTCATTTTTTCAAATATGTTGCGAACTCCTTTGGGAGGAACAGCATAGAGCATACTCAACTTTCATATGTAATTTATATTATAAAGAAAGGAATTTCACAGCATATGTGCAGTACAAAAAATCTTCATTAAAATATAAAAAAAATGAAACCATAAGTAAAAATTAAAGTGAAATCAAAAACAAAAAATAAAGGTTGTGAAATATCCTAGGAAGTGAAAATAGCGAAAAGTTTGCAACCGCACTTACAACAGCGGTGGCAACAGTGAAGGTAACAGCATGAAAAAAAAATAAAAATCCGCCATCATTTTTTAGGGTTCTTAAGCACTTGACGTGTTCAGCAGCTCGACAACACCAGCAACAGCACCAGCAGCAGCCAGCTCCTGACTATGTGTCAACTCTGCCATATCACACCTTATGCACTCGTAAAGCATTCAAGTCTGATAATTGCCGCAATGGCATATATGTGAGCTTCACTGCCACTGTTGGTGGGTATTGCACCAGCCAGGCTTAACCACAATGCAATTTTTTAAAGCTCAGTAATTTTTTTTTTATTTTACCTTCAAACATAAAAATGTATTAGTAACATTGATATGGCTGTTTGCAACAGTTATTTCTACTGCTATTCTACTGCTAAGTTGGTGCTGTTTCTGTTAGGTTCTTTAAAGACAAATTCAACTATGAGATTGTTACGTACTTTTCCAAGTGTCGAAAAAAAATAACAATTAATCCCAAAAAAAAATGTATTTCTTCACACAGATATTTATTACAGTCCTTTTATGACTTTATATAAGTGCAACCCAACATGGTGGCAATTTCATTGCTAAGAGGAGCAATACCAAATTTAATTTATCTTTTGGGTTTAGAAATATGATGACTAGATCCTTTTATATATATTACCCTAATCTATTTTGACTATAGTTTGTCCTACCAATCTTATTTTATATAAGCTAACAATGGTCACTGAATTTTATTTTTTTTTTTTCAATTTTAATTTACGAAGTCGCAGACTTCAAAATGCAACTGCAAAAGTCGAAAACCTCTGTATCCAGTACTTTGTTGTCCAAGTGCATTCCAAAGAAAATCTGAATGTTTTGAAAATATATATGAATAGTGATCACATCTATAAGAATATGTTGATAAAATAATCGTTAACTATTTATGTACAAATGGAAGCGATGTACCTTATGCTCAAAAAGTATCCGGATTATTGTTGTTTGTTTACTACTCCTTAAGTAATGGACCGTTTTCAAAAATTTATGTTATGTTGGTACACCCTTTCTTGACATATGGTACAAATTTGAGTGCCATCTATTAGTCAATTAGTTTGTTTACAGCAGCAGTTAATGTGAGACTATCTCAAGTGCATTTAGCGATTTTTATTATGGAAAATTCTTGTTGTACGCGATTTTTTGACCAAACACAGCAATACTGTCATTGCACAGGCACCATATTCGTCAGATCTGGATCCGTGCGACTTTTTTCTGTTCCCGAAACTCAAATTGCCCCTTCGTGGTAAGCGTTTTGAGTCCATTGAATTGGTAAAAGAGAATTCGCTGATGGAACTAAAAGCCATGCCTTCACGGGCCTACGAAAAGTGTATGGAAGATTGGGTTAAGCGTTGGCATATGTGTATCGCTTCAGAAGGAGCATATTTTGAAGGAGATAAAATAAATTTGGAACAAATTTGTGTGTTTTTATTTACAAAATCCGAGTACTTTTTCAGCAGAAGGTAATTCCATTTGAAGCACAGTTCATGTAATGTACTATCTAGATTTCTTAACATTTGGGCAAATAGTTGCGATGTTATTACGTTTTTTATATAGTTTACATATCATGTTATCAGTATAGCACTTTTTAATCGCTATGACATCTACAAAAAGCTTTCCTTTCATTAACAAATTCATTTTTCCTAGAAAATAGATGTTGGGTAATACCAATCGTGTAACAAAATGTACCAAATCATGTAAATACGGATAAGAGAAACTTTCAATCATACTTTGCCTTAGCCATAAGTTCAGTCGAAATTCGATTAATCGAGGCATTTGAAATGCAAAATCAAATTTCATTAATTTAAATAAAGGTTTTAAGTGATCTAGATTTATTTATTTACTATTTACTATTAAAGCATTTCTCTGTTTGAATTCGCCCAAATCTACTTTTAGGTGAAAAGATTGAAAACAGTTTATTGAGGTTTCAGATTGACGCCATAATACAAAGCTCATAGGTAACTAGCGTATAGAAAATGCTTAATACTGTTAAAACCAATAAACGGTCATAATGACCAATTAAATTATTAAATAATACAAGAGAATTAAACCAATAAAAAAACTACCAATGATTGATGATAGATATTTATCAATATCATAAACAGCTAAATATCAGCCAAAAAGCTTATATGATTAAAAATTAAATTTTTAGATTTAATATTTCCATTCTATTACATCCTTTTCTATTCAAATAAACATTTAATGTCATAGAACATAACAATTTTAATTAAATTTTCTAAAAATACTTACTGTTTTGATTAAGTTTCTTGGATACAAAAATAATATAAATATTCTACTGCCCAAATGTCATAGAACGATAGTTAGTTTATAATAAAGTAGTTATCTGTAATTTTCTATTCATCAGAGCAAACTTGTCAACTTCAACATGACAACCTCAAAAAGGACTTTTCTAACCAAAAATCTAATAAAAATATATTTTTAATTAAAAACTGAAATATAAATTAAAAACTTAATTAAAATTTATTTTAATTATTTTGAAACATAGTACAAAATACATAAAGACAAGCAACAGTGTAATTCATTCATAATAGATTTTTTAATTTAATCAAATAATGTTTTCATACATAATTAACAACTTACCACTAACATGATAAGCATCAACTTCATTATCGATGCTATCGCAACTACATTTCTATGCCGCATTTGTCACTGACCAAAACTCTTGCAACTTGAAGGCACGCAGTACTTCATTACATTGTCTTGCAGTGCGGTATGCACCTTAACATTTTCACTTTGTTGTGTGCACTCATTGTCACACTTAATAAACAACAATTGTCACTTTCATTAGCTTAATTTCCTTTCGGCAGTAAAATCCATCAATGTATCTCGTAGATACATTGTTCCAACCTACCACTGCCAGACTGTAAGTGACATTCTAATGGAAGCATTTGTCTGTGTTTTTTAACTTTTAACACTTTTACTCCTTCGAGTGCATCGTCACGCTTACACTGCACTAATAGCAATAGTTTGACTTAAATGATTTTTAATGTGTTTATGTGTGCATTTGTATGTATAATCGTGTGTAAGGACTCTTAACTGTAAACTTCTACACATAAGGATTCATGCACATAAATTCCCATGTGCCTTTCATTGCAAATGCATTTATTACTTCATTTCACACTCACAATGTATGAAAATGATTATTATGTGACTGGCTTCCTTCGTTCGCATATCCTTGATATTTATATAATTATTAATATTTCAAAAATAAAAATGCAATGTATATTGTCAATTTTAGTTTGTATTAGTAATTTATTTAAATTTATCAATTTATTTATTTATTTTATTTCTTAAAAGTTTTTACATTAATTTTGAATAATCAAATTTCATTATTACCTAAAATTTCTTAATGAATCCTCTAAAGTCACTACGTTATAATTTTAGTTATTTAAATATGTTTCTATAAATTGCAATACATTCTGTATTAAATTAAAATGGATTTAAATTAAAATTCATATGAAATCATAAATAATATTTTTTTTAATTTAAAAACTTACCATAATGTAAAATAGCAATAATGGGCACTTATTTCAAAGATACCGAAGAACGCCAATCATCATTAGAACACACCTCGGTGATATATTATTTATTCGATTGTATCTTCATTTATCATGATTGAAATCATTACCTATAAGATTAAATTTAATAATTGATGTTATTTCTTGTCGCAATATTGTTAAGTAGATGGACATTGTCATAAGTTGCTACAGTTATCGATTGTACTAGAGATTCTACATGTAACATGGTATTATTCAAATTTTTTAATTGTTTCCCAAGTGTATCTGATTTTAAAACTCTTTTCTGTAACACTCTAGTACCGAAATTTCTCTTATCTGCTTCTTTAAAAACCGGTCCTATATTTTTACTAAATCGTTCAAGACAAAAACCATCAGTTTCTATTAAATGATTATTTTCGCTACTTTCTTCTGAACTTTTACTTGAGAGTTTATCATAGTCATCTATATTCTCGTTATCTTTCGGTATATGACTATTTTTTCGCTGATTAAAGAAAAGTAGTTTTGTCATATGATTTTGTTGTCTTTTTTTCTTAATCTTATTTTTAATTTTATGACGACTATGTTCCATTAATTCTTCCAAATTCGTTTCATTCGAATTTGTATTATCAAAAGAAGAGTTACTCTTATAAACTTTTCGTTTGTGTAATCTTCGACTTTCATCAGACTGTTCAGGTTTCTCTTCGTGATAACAATCAGTCCGATATCTACTATTCTCTACTCTTAAACTTTTCCGATCGTTGATTTCTTGTAAGCTAAGTAACACTGAATTGTTATTAGGAAAGTCATAGCTGGTTTCAAGTATTTGACGTTTGTATAATGTTCGATTTCGATATAACTGTTCAAATGAGCCATTACGATGTTGTTGTCTATAATCTTTTCTATGTCCGTATCGTAAATTTAGTTCCGTTTCGTTTCTGTAATTATGGTCAAAAGCGTTTTCAACATTTCGAGTTCTGTATACGTTGTTCTTGTGGGATCTGTGATTGTTGTATAGCTGAATCGTTAATTTTTGGTGATTTTTATGTTTTCGTCTACTTTTAATATAATTTATTTTATGAATATCTTTCCCACCTATTTTATCTAAACTTTCATCTACATATACATTTTTATTTTCATAGAAATATGATGTCTGCTCAATTTTATATTCTTTAAACTGTGTTATATCACTATTTTCGCTCTGTGAATCTTCATCATCGGCATCATACGTTTTAAAATGATTGTATGCTGACTGCTTTATTCTAAAGAATTCATTATCTGATTCACTATCAGCGCTTGTAGTGGCACTTGTTGTACTATTCTCAGTAAAACTCCTATTCATCATGATTTGGCCGAACCTATTCTTACGATGTGAACTTATTTCAATTAAATATTTACACATAAATTTGGCAAATTTTTTCAAAAAATATTCTCTATCTATTAACAACAATTTAGAGAACGTTTATGTTACGAAAGCACAAGATGATAAATTTTGAAACTCGTAAAAAAACTAACATATTTTATAAAAATAATTTTAAAATGTGGAGATTAATTTTATGAACTTTCAAAAAATAAAGAAACGCATCCTATGATTTGCTTTTCATATGTTATAGAATTAAGTATTTATAATTATGATTAAATTACATTACATTATAATTACATTATAATTTTAATTATAGTCAATTATAGCATTTTAGCTGGGTACTTTAATTAAGGTTAGTGCAGGAATTAGGTTGTTTCAATTACATGGCAGTGCAAAAAATATTAAACTTAGCCAATTCAGGTAACTCTATACCACATGTATCTGTATTCATATGATACAAATATTTAAGCAGCATCAAGACTTTATGCTTATTGAAATTTATTAGGAAATTACTTACAGAGTTCAGTAAAACAATAATGTGACTTAAAGCCTTTTTGTGAAATTAGATGATGAAAGCTAAGCCTCTTTGGAAGAACATGGAATGAAGACAAAATTAGTTAGACGCACCAGAAAACTTACTACTTATTAAACTGATTCATATTTGTGACTTCAACGACAAGTTCCTTGTTAGTAGCTCAGAAATGTGTTTTCTGGCAGGGTACCTGCGATACTAATAAAGCTTTGTTTATATATATTCAAGATGGGTGTATCTGTACTGACAGAATGTTATATTCTTTTACAATTGTGGTTCTTGGATCTAAACCAGGAAGAGAATAATTGACTGAAAAAAAAATACTCAAACACGAATATTAATGTTTTAATATTAGGAATTCTCCTGATGAAGGCAAAAGCGAATTTGCCGAAACACGTGTAGAGATACACAAAAAAAACTTTCGAAATAAAAGTTAGTATATTTTAAAAAACAAAAATAACCGCATTTACGAAAAATGTGTTGTAGTAGATCATTGTAGTAAAACTCTTAAACCCTGCATTTTTTTGAAATACAAAGTTATCTATTTTATACCGAAAATAAACAGATACAAGTTAACAATTGTTCTTGTACAATTGTTGTTTTATTTAATTTTTTTGTCTTCTATGAAGACTTTGTACAAAAATTACACGAATTGAGTTAATTATTATTATGTTGAGGGAAGTTGAGTCAGTGCACCTGAGCACTTTTACTCTATATTAACTGCGAGGTTTCTTTAAAACCCCGCTTTGCGCCTTGACTGGATTATTATTTATCACATCATCAGACTAAGTAATAATTGACCTCAGATCTGCATACCTCCCCGAGGAGCCTGTAACCATTCTGAGATTTGATAATGCGGTGTTAGTAAGTCTGTCAGATTTCGCAAATAATTTCAAGGCTCCATCCTTTATGTATTTTTTGATGGGATCAATTTTGAGGTCCCTATGAAGCGCTGTAATGATTTTTCTGTTCGACACGTACTTCAGCATAAGAATGCAAAAAGAAATATGATCTTATGCTTACGTAGTGTCTGGAAATTGGTTACATATTGTATTTTTCATTATTAATATTTTACAATTGATATGTTAAATAATATGTTAAAATAAATATGATAATATTTATTAAAAAATATATTATCCGCTGACACCAGTAAATCCGCAGTGCTTCAATGTTTACGTTGTTAACTTATATACTTTTGACTTAGATCTCTATCAAATTTTTATTGTAATATATTGTTTGGAACATACATGAATACCCTGAATACCATGAATAAAACATTTTCCAGTAATAAATCGTTTTGAGGTCATTTTTAATAATTTGTCGGTATATGACGATCAGTAGCTCGATCACAACCTAAGATACATTTGCAATTGTGTTTCAACAGGTATGTTTGTGAACAGATCTATGTGTAAAAGATACGCAAAATAATGATACGTACATTTTGTGACTTGTATAAAACTTAACTGTATTATATATACAATTCTTACGGCCAACATTGATGTTAAGTCTAACACAATTCTATGTTATAGATAACAGGAAGAACGTAAACATACATATCAATATACACCGAGCGAATAATTAGCTACAATTTAAACACGTTCAGGGGTTGTTAAGTGATGAATGTCTTAAAATGGCAAACATTAAAGTCAACGCATTAAGCCTTGGATTTAGTTGTTTTTAATATGTTTCATTCAAGCAATGTTGCCAAATCAGAACTACGAGATAGATAACTAGTTATTTTTCTGATTATTAATAATTGTGATTTAAGTGACTATATATATCAGAAAAAAAAAATGTAACAGTATTTGAGAAAACGAAAATTAAAAAATTTATATTAAAATAAATATAAAAAAAACATATATATATAAATCATTAATTCAATTATTCTACAGCTAGTTTATGATTTCGTTCTAATATAAACACAGCAACTGAATTTGTTAATAAAACTTACAAAGCAAATTAACAAAACTCCAGAAAAAATGTACGAATATGTTAAGGAGCGCTGACTCTGAGCTTTAAATTTGGCAGGGCACGAGTTCGATTCTAGGTATTTGCAGTCTCAAAAAAATATTAACGAATATTTAAATACAGGATTTATTTCTGAGATCACTGATGACGGGTATTTGGCATTACTCGAAACAGCTGTATGGTCAGCCAAAAATTCAATTAATTAAAATAATATACAAAATAATTTTAGCTGTTGTAATTCACTACTTTTCGAAAACCTATTTATAAAAATTTAAATACAAAATATTGTGTATCATGCTTTACTTATAAACTACTTACTGACTGACACTTTAAGTTCCTTGATTTTTGTATTGAAATAATTATTTTTTACAATTTACAAACTTTTTTTTAACATAAAGAAATTTAAACAAAAATATAAAGGAAAAGTTATACAAAGTATGATCCGATAACTGTCTTATATATTACAATTTTTTAATAAATTTACATTAGAACTACTGCAAAGAAGAAACATATTCCACAGCAGGAACATAAAAGTGACTGGCATAAATTATCATTTCAAGCAGTTCGTACTCTGAAACACATGAAACCTTTTGACATCGCACAAAGTAGAATATATTTTTGTAAAAATAAAGCATAAGATTTTGCAATAAATTCACTAACACAAATTACAGAAACATGAGCTCCAAGCAGTCAACAACCGGACAGTTCTTTCAACATCCATTGCAGAGTGGAGTACATAGGTTAAACTGCACTTAAGTAAATTTGCAGAGACAGCTTAAAACAGTTTGAATTTTGTATTTGTTAAGTTTAAAGTAATTTAAGCTTTAAAAGTTTTCAGTTGCAAGTTTTGTAATTGTTACAATAAAATTTATTTTACTTAAATTTTATGCATATATGCGTTACGCTTTACCGGGGAAACTATGAATGTATTTTTGTTTTAAATAAAAACGCCTAACGTAAAACTTTAAATAAGCATTAATTCTCGAGTTCTACTTAGACCCAAAATGTCACAACAAAAAAGTAAATGACTGTTGAAATATACATACTAGACAAATAATTTGACAAAGGGTTAGTCTGTGTTATATTCCAACAAACGTCGAATGTAAACGACGCTATCTCAGACACCCGAAGTAACATGAGAAGTATGTTAAAGAAGACAAATTTGCAGTAAAGTCTGTTAATGTTGTTACTTTTTACATTAAATGCATACAAACCCCATGGACATATGATTACTTTTTTATTCAATTTGAAAATGCAAGCAAACTAACTACTACGAAAGAAACGAAAAAAGGTTGGATTGAAAAAAGCTGTGCCGGAATATAGGATCTAGGCTTAAATTATTATTATTATGTATGATAACTATAGCCCACAATATTTTTCTTTAAAAATGGTCCTGGGTTAAACATAAGACCCGCCATTTGTAGATTTGAGAAAATTATATACAAACAGATGGAGAGTTTAACTAGCAGCCCGATACATAGGTTAACGAAAACAGAAAACATATTCTGAAAGCCAATCATTCACGTTTTCCATTTATAAAAATGGGTCGTCTAAATTTACCCTACCGAGAACAGCCACAATAACTTTCTGTTAGTACCAGTTATAAATAATGCAAATCAAATTAAACTATCAGGAACTAATTTTTTTTAAACACCAATTTTTTTTCATGTAATAAAATTATTACTCAATTTCATATTTTGTCTATTAAAATACCCTGAAGAGTATCGCATTTTGTGTTATGCAAGATTATGTAATTATATATATATATATATATATATATATATGTTATTCGTAATATATGTTTCGTGTCTATATTATGAACTGATTTAATCCATAAGCGATAATACAACTTGAGACATTACTATTTTCTATCACTAAACATTTCTATCAACAATTTTATGTTCTACCAATAATCTGCTGTCATATATTTAAAAAAAATTTGAAATCTACTTTAATTGATTTGGGACTATTTTGTTAAGATACCATCGATATTTTCCAATGTACTATTTTAAAAGATAATATTGTCACGAATATGATATAAGAAATATTCACTATTTCTCTCTACTAGTCCATTATACAAACTGTTCCAATATATGTTACTACTTTTTTTCTTCTTCTCACATTTGTGCTTATATTGACCTTAAAGTTTTTGTTTTTCATTTCATCGATCATTTTTAATGGCTAAGTACTGTTGTTTATATATATATATATTTTGTTTTTCCTTTTCTTATATTTGACTGCACACACTTTCTCTTTCCATCTATTTTGTTATATTTTATTTCTACTCACTTCTTCTTTTTAACTTTTTATCTATTCTTTCTGTCTTTACTTTCGGTTTCTTACATTCTGCTATTCTTTTTCCTTCACATAATTTCTTCGATTGTTGAGTCCCTTATTTCTCATTTCTTTTCTCGTTTATGCCTTGCTCTCTCAATCCGAGATCATATATTACTACTCTCTATTCCTTATTTTTTTTTATAGCAAACAGTATATATATCCACCCTTTGTATTTTCTACATACATAATAAATTCAACATGTTAGGATTTTCATGACAAATTTTTAAGAAATTTCTTTGTTTTCTCTTACTCAATTTTGATACATTTTTGCTCGCTTTGGTGTTGTTAACTGTAACTTTGATTTTTGCTAAT